AACTGGAGAATTTATCTGCTGGAGAGTTGATCCTTACCTTCCCCATTTTTTGGTTGGATTAAGCTTTCAGCAAGATCAGGAATGCTTGTGCCAGCATAAGGGAGGAGACAACAGGGAGACAAGCATCAGAGCGGGGAAAACACGAGACAGCTTCTTTTGGTGGTAGTGCTGGTCTAACTACAGACCCAGAAAGCAAAGAGATGCACTGAAGTAGGCAGAACACCAAGCAGGCAAGACGTGAATTAGGACAGGGAGGACAACCGAAGACTGAAAAGACAATGGGAGGAGAACTGTGTTTCATAACCTACCCACACTCTGAAAAACGCTCTCAAAGTTACCAAGGGGAAGTATACAAAGCTACAAGCATTCTTCGGAGAATCACTTCAGTGTATTTGAGGCAGTTTTTGCAGAAGGCTTAACGTTCTACCCACTATAGTCAATAAAAATGACTTCTATTAACTTCACTGGAAGCTGACTCCAATCTCAAAACAAGCTCTTATCTAGGAGAGGAGGGACAGAGTGCAAAGGAACACATTTTCCTATTACCTCAAAATGTTCACGGTTTTGTACAGTCTTCAGTGCTGCAATCCAATCTTCCATCTCTTTTCTGTTATCAGCACAAAGGATGAGCTTCCGACATGGAGTGATAATCTGAAGAGGGAGAGAAAATTAATAGCGTGTATTCTGGGCATGTCAGTGAGAGACAGCGAGAGAACATGCTATCATTAGTGTAGTCTATTGAAGCTATTTTCAGAGCCAAAGAGCTGCACAACAGAAGTCATTTGCACATTCCAACCATATTTCTCTTCCACCGCAACATACCTTAATTCCTTCATAAATGTACAGAACCACAGAGAATTTAGCTGTTATTCCCAATATTGAACCCAGTCAAGAAATCTCTCACACCCAAACAACAGAAAAAAATCTAGTCCGGAGCAGTAGGAGTTAATACATTACATGTGCAGACCTTGCATAAGTCTTTTTTAAGTACTTAATGACTTTTTAAATTGGCAACAACATTAAAAAAATTGTTAACAGCATAACATACTAGTTTCTAGTAATTACTGAATTAGATAACATACTCTCTATCATCATACCAAAAATCTGTTTAGAGTCATGACAAGTGAGGAGGGGAGAAATCAAACAAAATCAGCAATCTAGAAGAGAAATCACTGTATTTTGAACCCTCATGTTTCCTGAGGGCTTGTTCTATGTTCACTACATAAAAGAATAATAGAATCACAGAATGGTTTGGGTTGGAAGGGACCTTAAAGCCCATCCAGTTCC